AAACAATGTAATGTATTAAATACATCACTTAAAAGCTAAATATTTTTTTTAATGGTTTATTTCTCTAGTTTCCTATATATTTTCACATTTTCTTATTATTGTAAATAACATTCCGTTATGACTTATCGAACTTCTTTCGATTTCCCAACAAAAGATAACAAATCAACATATGTACATTGTTAAGCTATATTTAAAAGCAAACAGCAAATACATTTAAATACATAGAGAGACGCCTGGAAACATAATCCCCTGCTCCTGCCATTCATTTCCATTGTAATATTCGCTACACTTTCCTTCCTCAGTTTACATATCAAAACTGCTGTCTAGGCGTCCTGGCATTTTCTCACTTTCCCAGGGGTTCGCTGCCACGCCCCCGGGACCAGAGGGGCGCCGCCCACTCATCATTACATTTCATTAAGCTTTATTCCCCGCAAAAAGGGGGGTCACACACACACACACACACACAGTCAAGAAGATTCGGTGCTCTTTGGGCGTAAGCTTCAGTTTCAGTTTCTGTTTCTGTTTCTGCTGTTGTTGCTTTTGTGTTTATTAAACGCTTTTCGGGGCGCGTGTTCATTCAATTTGTTTCTGCTCCGGCTCTGTTCCTGTTTCTCTCCACTGAATGTTATGTCTACATGCCTGCGTCTAAATAAACAGCAAAAACAAGGACTCTGTGTGTAGTGTGCTGGGGAAAATCGTTTTAATTGTTTTGTTTAAATAACAGACGAGCCTGAAGCTGCACAGAAATTTGGGCCAGCTCACAAACACACACACGCAGACACAGACACTGACACAGACACAGACACAGACACAGACCCAGAGCGTGTGTCGCGTGGGCGTATACTTAATATGACGCATACGCCGCGTGTTCGCGCCGCCTTTGTATGTGTCAGTGCCCTCTTTGTGTTTGATGTCGTGCGACCGCGTCACATGAACGCTACAAGGAAACAACAGGAAGCATATAGTTTGGGGAGTTTTGGGGCCAAAAATGGGATCTTTGGAGAAAGTTAAATCAATTGGAAATATAATCTGTTCCGGGGCTATCACAATATTTTTGCTATGAATTATGCAAGCAGCTTTTCCAAGAAGCCATGAAATGACTTGGATTCAAATATTTCAATGAAATATTTTTTGTTTTTGTTTATTTTTTAAGAAAATCTACCAAGAAGCTAGCAGTTACATGAGTGGAAGAAATCTCAAGTGGAAAGAAAGCATCTTATATTATTATGATGAATAAAATGTATATTACAATTTAAGATTTAGTCTTTATGCATCTACTGCGTATGTTTATTTATAAAGAAAGGAATTTGGGGTTTAATTAAATAATAATAAACTTTAAAACTATTTTTATTACTTTTAAGTTGGTGAAAATAATTTAATAATGCCCTGGCAATAATTTTCTGTACATTTTTTCAACTGTTTTTTGTTTATTGTACAGTCTAAGCTTTGACCTTCTATCGCCAGACCAAGTCCAAAAGTTTCTGTCCTGTTTTTATTAATTCCACGAGCATAGGAAAATTTATTGAAAATGCCTGTTGGCAGGACACGTAGCAAAGTAAAACTTTTGCCAGCCAGGAAACGCATTTCTTTCTGTATTTCAGTTTTTTCCTTTTTTTTATATTTCTGTACGTGAGCTCAGTGGAAAAAAACAGCGTAATTAAAAACGAGAAGTCGTCGTCGTCGGCGCTTGATATGTGGTGTTCTGTAATGAAACGGCGGGGGCAATGCCAAGGCAGTTGTGCTGCGGATAAATTTAGACAGCTTTTGCCATCTGATATGATAAATCTACTTAATCCAATAAACAAACAGCGGGACGCAGGCCAAAATTGAAGCGTTGCGATGCGAGAATGCGAATCGTGCGTGCGTGCGCTCAGACAGCCAGGGAAAGTGCCAAGTTTTAATTGTGAAAGTTTAGCAGCGGAGGAAAAGCTAGGATTGGGGGTGGTAAAAGCCTGCAGGGGGAACTGGAGGCGGAAAACATGGCAGGGAAGCTGTCACATAGACACACAACACACACACACATACACCCAGCAGGTGTGGCAAATTGCTGCCCGCACTGGGAAGCATTGAAGCCCGCATGCGACAAGCCATGAATTCAAGTTGTTTTCTCCCTAAATCCAAGGATCTGCACCGGCAAAAATAGGGAAACATCCTACAAGTTACTCTTCTTTCTTCTGTCAATGCGAGAAATCGGCAAATTAGAGTGATATTTTTTCCTGTGTGCTAGAACGTTAGTCCTGTTAGTTCTGCCATTCATGCCAGCCGACTGTGCTGTCATTTTGCGTTACTTGTCATCAACTTCATGCGTTTTGACATTTTTATTAGTTGAATACTCCTAAGCAGCACGCTCCATTGCCTGGGGTCCTGGTCGGAAGCTGTGCGAGTAGGGCCTCGTCCTGGTTCCCATACCCATTCCCATTCCCATTCTCGTTCTGTGACATCTAATAAGTGTTTACTGCGTCATGGAGCAGCGGCAGTGCTTTAAAGCATCCCTTTTGTCTGTAAGGGGAGAAAGTTCTGTTTTCACAGAGTGTCAATTTCTAGACGATAAATATTGAACAAATTGTAAGAGATTTTCATGTTTTCGGGGTGTTTTTTATTTATGCCTTCAGTCAAGGGATGTAATAAATAGATTAATACATTTAATATAGTTAATTGACAATTTCCGAAACCAGAAAACTACTTTCCTGTCTTCTTAATCTCTCTCGCAATCTACAGAAGACTTTAAATGTTAATCCGAGTTTAACCAATTTTCCCCCGGTATTGAACACTAAACAAATGCTTGATATATTTGCTCAACTCTTGCAAATACAACGAGTTCTCCGCAATGCCACTTAGTGGCTTTAATTTATGCAATTAAACTGTTTAATTAGTTACGCACAGCAGAAGCAACGAAAACATTGGAAACAACAGATGTTAAATAAATATGCGAATTAAATGCAGCTGAGGTGCATGGAATAAAAAAGCAATAACACTGTTTAACAATTTACAGTGTTTCTGTTTGTTTGACACAACGAAAAAAACAAAACGATCGGGAAGCAATTTAATTTCAGGGAACAACTGTAACCAACTGTAAAAATAGCAACGTTGAAAAAACACTGGAAAAATGGCGCAATGCCAACGGCACGCATAGCCCGACTCGATGAGTTGAAAATTAACTTTAATCATAAACAAAGGGCAAAGAGGTCACAACAACTAAGTACTTCAAATAGTTCAGGTTAAGTGCAAACTTTGATCTGAGAATTTCCTTTCATCGTCGGGATTCCCAGCGATTTTCGCAACAAACTTCAAAGGAACATTAAAACGTCGCCAGCAGGAGGTGAGATGATGAGTTCTCCACCTTCTACCTGCCCCGCAATGCTAATAGAGTGCCACGGACCTGGGCCGGCGATATTTATGACGAAAGAATACCGAACCGAAAGTCATACAACGACCTCAATGTCCATTTGCTAAAGTTGCCATAAAAGAAATGCTGCGGCCCCAGTGCCACCCCGAATGAGAAAGTTTTAAGCATCTGGCGAGGGTCCAAATGAAGGTAAAAGGCAGCAGCGAGAGCGAAACTTTTAAATGAAATTTTTGTGTTAAAGTTTTCTGTCAGGTGGGACGGTCGCAGAGCAGGCAAGCAGGGAAGCAGCCGCCACGCAATGCGACAACAGCAAGCTGGCTTAGGGTCAACCGAGCTCGGCCAAGGAGCCCCATGGAAACCGATGGTGGAAAACCCCAGAAAACCCTGAAGCCGCCCACTGCGGTCCACCGCAGTCGCACACCAACGCGCACCACACCGAGAGTCGGGAGCCAAAAGGAGACAAAGTTGCAGCTGTATTGTCACGTAAAACGGTGACAGATTCCAAAGACGGCGACGACTATGGCAATGGCAGCCAGGCAAATAACATTAAAACAACAAACAACAATGGGCCATTCCAGGAGGTCTCATCATCGTTACACCATGCAAAAATTATATTTGTTTTAAGGGTATTTAATAATTGAGTCTTTTTTTATATTACCAATTGTTTCAGGACTTGAAAACGAGTTAAAATTATGCTATGAAATATTTTGTAGCATATTTTCAGACACTTTAATGGCGGATTTTGATAACATGAAGGCTTTTCATGGCATATTTCCTTGTCTTTCTAAATATGTTATTTGTGATACCTGAAATTCTTAAACTGTTTAAGTTAAACCATTTCTTTGAGTGTCCCATTATGGCAGGTGGATGTGGGAAGCGACAGCATCCCTCCCTCATCCCAGGACGTGAACGAAAGTTTCGTTCTGTGACTCCTACGACTTAATGGCGGTACACACACACAGCCCCGTTCCCTGGCATTAAATTTCACCCACTGCGACTTTGTTCCTCTGTCCGCAGAAGGAAATTAGCAACACATGCCGGCCCAGGACACCGACCCAAAGAAATAAAAAATCTCCATTCAGCGTCAGAAAAGAACAGCGCAGCGCGTACGTCTGCATTTAAAGCAATTACAAGAATTTTGCCCCTGCATATCGTGTGTGTGCGCCGTCCTAATGCTCGGCTTGAATTATGACAGCCTCTCCACGACGGCGGCTGCTTAAGCCCCGAAAAGAGCTAATGCGTTTTTAAATATGCTGCAGCGGAAGCTCTCGGTTTTGGCATTAATTAACAGCCGGCCGGGAGTGCCGACTACGGAGTTGTTGTGGCTTAGGATATGGCGGATGGCAAAAGGGATTACTAGAATGGCTTGTAGACATTGCGGAGGATTGTGCGAAAGGGTTGTTTGAGACTGGGAAATTATTGTACATTTTCAAATACATTTCAAAGTATGGCAGGACTTTAAATTGCTTTTTTAAGTTAAGATCTTGGTTAGGAGAATATTTAAAGACTTATTTTTTATATGTAGAAATTATTAAATTGATTAGTTCGTAATTTATTGATAGTTTTCCCCCACAAAAAACAAACAAAACCGTCCAGAATAAAAATAAATAAAATTGGGATAATTTTGTAGAACAAGATAAGATCTTGTACTTACCTGTTGCTATTTTTCTCTGCTGTGCCTTCGATAGTCTCTGTGCCAGAGGCGTATACGCGATATTCGGCGTTTTAGTGTACAAACAACACACTCACAGGACACACTGGCACACAAAATATTTATTATTTAGCCCGACGACACTCACACTCGCGACACTTAATTCCTTCTTTAATTTCAATTTCTGGCACGCTTGTATGTGCTGTTTGCTTATCTATTCCCCGGACCCCCACAGGACACTCCGAAATAGAGAGAGGCTGGCAAAAAATCCTTGGCGGTAATCATGCAATAAGCCGCACTTGTAGCGCACACACCAAGCACACACACAACACACTGGGGTCAGCCTTCTTCCCCGTTCTTCCTCGGTGTTGTGGCAGTCCTTACGCTATCCTGTCTGGTCCTTGTTGGCAAAGGGAAACAGCTTGAAATGCTATTAAAATATAATCTTCTGATAATCTGCACTTAATTTCGTGCTCCAGAAAAGACGTTTATATGTCCTGGCCGTCAGCTGCCACGTTCTTATTGTGCTCAGCTCTTCGCGCTCCTTCTTTTATTTGTGGCTTAGTTTTTCCCAGCTTAAATCTTTTAATTTTTTTCGCACTAAAAACTGTTCTCTCACTTTGTAACTCTGTGTTGTATTTCTGTTTTTATTCGTTATTTGCAGCTTCTATTTGTTATTTCGCTTTTTCGTTCACTTATTTTTATATAGAGTTTTTGCGAGCTTTTGTGTAAGTTTTACACTCCGCTGATTTTTAATGTTTTACCATGGGACGCCGTAGCCGTGCTAAAAACTCGCTCATGTGCGTGCGTGTTGATTTCCTTTGTCGCTTCACCTTTGATAGACTCGCACTTTTCGGCATTTCCTTCGCCAACTCGTCGCGTCTATTGCCTTTTCGAAATTTATCAAATTTTCCTCTGTTCTCGCTTCCGTTGCTCCCTTTTTTTAATCAAATTTCCACTTGATTGGAGTGACGACAATTTAGTTGATTTCCGGTTGATGTTTGTGCTTCTGTTGTGGTGTTTGTGGAAAATGGTTGCAGAAAAGAGCAGAGAAGAGAGAGAGAACGAAGAAATTGTGTTAGTGAAACATATTTGCTTGGGGAGTTTGTGTATACATAGAAAATGTGTTCTATATATATTTTCTCTATACAGACTTGAATGGAATTTCTTAAAACATATAATATAAATATCTTCATAATTATTATAGTTTTAATCAAAATTATTGTATCTTTGAAAAAAACTGCAAAACTACAAAGTAAAATCACTTGTTATTGTTATTTCTAAATTAAATGTATGGATTTTAATAATAGCAACTTTAATAAAGTCTGAGTGCTTCGTCTTGCTCGATATTTTTCTCCTGTGGGAAAGTATGGGCAGTTTTTCCTCTATGGCCGCAGCTTCATTTCCTTTTTAATTTAATTTCCAGCCCCTCGCATTTCGCTTAATTTCCCTACTTCCGCATTACAGTTTCTCACACTTTCTCGCACTCGCCGCTTCCCCTCGCGCTTTTCCCACTGATCCTCTTAACAGGACATTGCCAGTGTGTATGGAAGCATTTTCATAAAACCAAAATGCAGCGCACACACGCAGACTTTTGCGGCGAAAATAAGAAACAGGCAGGGAAAATGGTAAAATGTTTTCCATTTTCGCTGATTTCATTCCGAGTATTTTCATCCTGCTGTCGCCTGCATGAAATTATAATTGTGTTCTCATCTCACCGCAGAGACAGTAAAACATTTAATTTCCTCTTTGCGGGCGGCGAGGAGGCCTGCTATAATTCCTTCCGGTTATTTTTGCCGCCAAATGGCGCTTCGTGTTTCTAATTCCTCGCAAAACCTATTTGCTCCGTCTCCCCCACTTCCGCGTTGTTTGTCGCTTCGAGATTTACAAATACGAAATAAAAAAGTGAGGGGACCATAAAGAAAATTACAGAAAATTAAATCACTTCACCCCTCGTCAGCGGCACAAGGAATTTTCTTGATTTTTTTTTCTTTATTTTTTGGTGTGTACTTTTGGCATTTATGCTTCATTTATTTTTGATGGTTTTTCTTTTCTCTGCCAACGCAAATGTTTGGGCAGAAACGTAAATGGTTTATTTGGAAATTTGGGTCGCAAAATATTATATTCACTTGTGTTTCTTTATGGCCCCGAAATACCGTAAAATATAATGGGGATTAAGCGGAATATACACATTGTGCTTAAATTCAATATTTGGCCGAGCTGTATTCGTTGCAAATAAATAAATATTTTGCACAAATAAATCAATTTGTTGGCTCTGTGTACGCCAAATGAATTTATTGATGAATAATATTTCCCAGGGAGAATCAAAGTCAAACGGCAGGCAATTAGTTCCCAGTTAAGTCTCAATCGAATAATAATTTCCCAGTCAAATAAATCCTTTGCGGCAATTATTTTAGTTTCCGTTTATTTGCTGAATTTTGCTCACATTGCCGGCCAAAATCCCCTTGGAAGAGCTGCCTGTACTTGTAAACCATTTTATTTCAGCATTTACATACACATATGTGTACACTGACAGAGCACTTCAATCGCCCATCGAGTCTTTTGAGCTGCTAATTAGTTTTTGCCCGGCCAGCTTCAGTGCATATTTCATTAGCTTTTCAGAATCGCTGACATATTTCCAAGGGCCGCGCTAATTAATTAAATTATTTTAAATACCTGCAAGGCCTAGAGCCCGCTCTAGGCGGCAAAATCTGTATTATAAAATTCATCAACTGTCGTTTTGTGAGTTCAGGTTTGGAATTTTTTAAAGCCATCGTTCAGCCAGAGAGAGCTGCACAAACACAGAATGCCGCTCTGCCCTGCTCGTCTGCGGTCTCATTTTCGAACGCATTTTAATGAGGTTTCAGCTGGAGAGGCGGCGAGGGGCTGCTGCACAGACTGTATTAATTAAAAAAGGGTTTCCATGGACTCGACGGCTCGCCCGGGCTAAAATGTCAACCAGGCGTTGACCCAGAAAGGCGAAAAAATAAAGCTGAAACTCTGAGCAACGTTTAAGGCTTGCTTTAAGGTCCTTTTCAGACTTTGCTGAAAGTGTTACACGTGTCCTTTCGATCTGTGTCCGGCGCGTGGCTGTAGCCTGTGCTCCACTGTTTGTAGATGAGGCCGATGGGCCCAAGGCTTCGACGAGAACACAATTTCAATTTGTGCGGTGTGAGCGACAAAAAAAAGCCCAGCGGCCTTTTTCGTTTCCCTTAAAGACACGGACAAAAATTCAATATCTAAATATTCTAAATATTCCATCACTTTTTCCTGGTGGAGGAATTTTAGGAATCGTAATAGGAATATAATAATAGTAAGTTTCTATTCTTCTGTTGTAAAAAAAAATACTTCTTTATTTTCAAGTTTTATGTTTCTCTGCCTTATTATTCTAAAACTATATTTCTTTGAATTCTATAACTCATTTTAAGATTTTACTATAGTGGAGAACTTTTTCCAAATTTTCTTTCCCAATATCCTCTTGAATTTCTCGCAGTTGCCTTCAATTTCCGCTTGAATGCAAAGCAAAGGTTTTTGGCCAAAAAACCAGCCAAAAGGTTCGCCTTTCGCATGTTGACTTGTCTTGTGAGTCAGAGCAAGACCTTGGGAGGGCTGCCATAACAATAACACAAGACAAAAGGCAGCCAACCGCTCCGAAGCGAGCCAAACCTGAGGCGCAATCTTTTGTGGGCGACCAGAGAAGAAACCTTTTCAACTTGATTAATTTCCCACAATTTAAGTTGATGAGAGAAGCACTCTACCGCTGCCCGGGAATTTTCAGGGCCTCCGCCTATTTCCACATTTCCCAGTTCAAATATCCTGCAGGGCTCCGTCGTCTGTCGACTGTCGACTGTCTGCTGGCCACTTTGTGATTTCGGCCCGGATGGCTTTGCGAATGTGTTGCGATTAGGTAAACGAACCTGCGATTTGATTTATCTCTGGAGATTTCATCCAGAAACCGAGTCCCGGGATTTGGTTCTCCTGGGCCGAGAAACTAAACAGTCTTGGATGCACATCAATTACTTTCAATTTGCATGGACGAACTTGAGGCACAACAACACCAATTGCACGTAGTTCTTCACGATGAATCCATCTCTCAGCATTGCTCAAACGACAGGTTGTCCAGCCAATATCCCAAAACTAATTCTTACAGCTTCCTCAAGTTTTCCAGCTCACAGAAGATGTGTACATATATACGGACGTATATGAAAACAGAGAAATAAGTTTCATCTTCTTCACAAGTTTTGTTTCGGTTCAGTTTTGCTGCTGCTGCTGCTGCTGCTTTCCCTCAATGATTTATTGGCCGAAATGGTTTTTGTTTGCCAGTTTGAGTCTGTTTGTTCGCCTGTGCTGTTGTTTTGGGCCAAAACACTGGGCCAAAGGTAAAAGAACTTTGCAGAGAGTTTGAAATGTTGCCAATATGTTTTTATGGCCATCGACATCGCTCGGCAAGCAGGCAGGCAGGCATTTAGAGGAAAAACTATGCCAACTATTTCGGTTACTTGAAAATCGAACACATTTTTACGGGAAACTCTTCTCAATTTATCAATAAAACGCCGCACCAATAAAAGGAAACTCCAAAGTTCTCATACCCGAAAATCGTTATTTTTGTTATCGTTACTGAATTTGATTTAGAATTTTTCATTTTTTTTATCACTTTCCTATTGTGGAATTTTATTATTTATGTTTGTGAAACTAATTTAATTGTGGGACGAGTTTAAGGGCTTCACTTTTGAGCAGCTCGGTTTGCTTTTATTAAGTTTAAAAAATAATTGGCTGCTTTGTGATTCGCTTTACCTTATGCGGGAAAAGTTTTCAATTTTTTAAATTGTATTTCAGTGTTTGAATTTTTTTGGAAGCTTGGTTAATTAAAAAATGCTTAAGAATTCAAAGAAAATTTCTTCATTACCCCTGTGTTTATTAATTTCATTTATTATTCGGCTATTTGTACTACAATAATTTTGGTTTTTCCAAACTTTTACAAAATATTTTTGGCTTGGCATATCAATTTTTAGGGATTTGCGATTTCTAAAATTTTGCTTCAGGAGTATACTTGGACTTGATTATTTTTTAGTGGATATAAAAAATATATTTTTTTTCATATTTGTTCGCACTTTCTCCATTCCACAACTCGAGCTTACATTTTTGCCTTGGATTTTCGCAACTGCCTTGCGAATCTGCTGTATCTTTTTTTGTGCACTTTCGACTTTGCTCTCTGGCCGTGTGTTTATTCAATTTGTTGGAAGTAACCGAGACCCGGAGCTCGCAGCCCGTAACAGCTTTACCGACTTTGTCCTGTGTGTTTACCCAGCGACTTTAAGTTCCGCCCGGTTTTTGCAACACATTGGGTTCTGGCTCACCGAAAATCGCTCATACGCACTGTTTTCACCCACTGAAGCACACACAAACACACGCCCGGTGCGAACGCGGATTACTCGTCGCCGTGGGTTTTCGTCTCGGAGGAGCGGCGTAGCGGCGTCGGGCTCCTCGGTGAACGGATGCTGGAGCTTGACTGAATCGACGTGACTAACTAGCCAGCACTCGACGGCTGTTTGGCAGGACCTAGTACAACACGGCCCGAGGACGAAGGCGAGTCGGAGCACAGGCAACGGGGAAATGGGGAGTCGAGGAGCAAACGAAGCTGCAGCACAATTCCGAGCGCCTCGGTGGCGAAATTCTGCCTATTACAGCATCCCTGAGAGAGCTTCCCAGGAGCAGCTTTCCGCCTAAGAGAAACGGGTTCTCAGAAGAGTATCCTTGGCAGCTTGATTTCCACATTCAGCGGGGCTGAATAAGGAGAGAGCTTTTCTGTGTCGCTGAGCTTTGCCGTATGACTTTTGTGCACTTTGTTTACAGTGTTTTGGTTTTAAAACTGGCAGTTAACGGGGTCACTAGGCATTAGATAATTAATTCGATTTTTTAAATGTTAAATGATATATCAATCCATTAATATTTAGCATTGGAAACTCACTTTATTGTAAAATTGTTCAGTATTGATGAATTTCCTAGCTCGGAAAATCCTTCTGAATTTAAATGAATTATTTCTTAGTTCGATCGAATGAGTAATTTACAAACTTTAAAAGTATAGAAACATTGGTTTAACGCAGTTAACTTCCTGTCTTGTTTGAGTTTTTTTTGGTTTCTTTTATGGTTTCAACCAAAAGTTTATCGAAAGACTTGAGCAACTCTTTAAGCGACATCTGTTAACAGTAACCTTTTGCACCATTTAACCCGAATCCTTGTCTGCCAATTTATTGGCCCCTCCTCACCCTGCACCGAATATATCGAAGAGCCGCAAATAACAACCTAATCGCAGTTGCCTTGAGAGCCAATCAATGGAACCTCTGGTACCTGGAACACCGAATCCGGACAGGCAGGCAGGCAGGTAGGCAGGACAAATGAAAAGCTGGCCTAAACGCTCAACGGTGGCCAATGTACAAATTTGTCCACATGGCTGACTGACAGCGCTAATTAAACCACACCGATGTCGAGGCGACCGGTGGCGACCAAAAACCAGGACATTAAAACTGATATAAAGCCCTGGAAAATCAGTGGAGCTGCGGCTGGGCAGGGACAGTGGAGCCTCCATCCAGCAACACTGGCACGTTGTTTCAACTTGCCGCCCATTAACTGCTTTGTTTGTCGGGGAAGATGGGTTTTGGTGTCGGGATTCGAGCTTAGGATGAAGGGAAAGTGGCGGGAAAAATTGTTTGGAGCTTGATTGTATAATGGAAGGACGACGTTGCCTAAATACAGCCCCCGTGTCCTGCAATTGACACGTAGAGACAATCGAATTGTGATTTGTCGGCGGAGGAGAGCGGGTAAGGATCCAGGGCTCCGAGTTCCAAATCCATGTCCATGGGGCACTCTGTCAAAGTGGCAGCATCCAGCAGTCGGCCCGCCGTCTGCTGCTCCACTTCCTCGCAACTGATTTTGGCCATTAAGTGGCGCACATGTCTAGCCCCATACTGCCACTCTCCAATGCCTTCACTCCAGACTCCATTTGGAGCTGCCTGGAAAAAAATCTGGAAAGCTGGCCAATGCACAGGTGTCTTTGGGCTACAGAAAGAGAAATCAGAGGTATATTATCCCTGTTCAGTTAAAATTGAATATCAGTAGAGGGAACTTGAGTATTCTTATGATTTTCAAGCTTAAACAAAGTAGTTAATCGTAAGTAAAGTAAAGTAATTTTGAAAACACCCTTCAAGATATTTCTCCCCATTAGCTAGACATTTTATAAATACTGCGAAAGCCAGTGGGATGAATTAAAAGCGAGCGGCCATAAAGGAAAACTGAAGCCGACAAGCTTGTCAAAATAATTACCGGGGAAAAGTCACATGGCAACGGTGCTCAAGGCCAGAGGCTCACTTAACAACTTCCTTTTTGGCGCACACAGAGTCTCGAGAGCCACTAAAAAGGAAGCTGCGCTCAGTAGTTGGCCCGTTAATTTTGGGGTGATTCGAGGGGTACGAGTGGCATCGTAAAAGAAAATCTTAGAGATTTGTAAAAGTAAAAAAGGAGGAGAAATAAACATCGCGAGACTGTGACAATCTACATAAAAGCGACGGGACTCGGCGACTTCCTCATCATTTTTTTCCGCCATCATTGCTTTATTTTCCCCTGCCATGACGCGGATGGGAGGGACGAGGGGGAAAACTTTTTTGTGTGCGAGCGAGCGAGCGAACGCCAAATGAAATAAAAGCCGGGACGAGCAAATCCTCACAGATGTCCTGGCAACTGACGCACAGCTCTCACTGTCATATATCATAGATATGTGTCTTTTCCAGCTCCCAGTCTCTCCCCTTGTCATTGTTGCTTAGTGGTCAGTGTTCTCTGCCTCGCTTTCCTCGTTTTCCCGGGTTTTTACTTCTGTGCGAAGTTTTCTTACTGTTGTAATAAACTTAAATTGTTATTTTACCTTGAAAGCGCTACAAAAAGATTTACGGTCGTCTTGGCACCTACTCCTGCTTCTCTTCTCCTTCTCCTTCCTCCTTTGTGGTTCTGTTAGCATTTTTATGCTCATTACTCCGCATTTGTGTCCGTACCGTCACCCCACCACTGCCTTCCTTATTCTTCAGCTCACTTCCAGCAGCTTTAAGTTGTGTCCTTCTTTCTTTTGATGGTCGAAAAAAAGCTTATTTGATATCCCTTCTCTTCGTTCGCTTGTTGTTCTCGACGCATATTTATTAGGCTTTATATATTATGATGTCTAGAAAATGTCCAGACAATTTATATGCCTCTTCTGGCGAGGGAGATGAAAGCCAAGAAGGCCGGGGAAAAGGGGCCTGTGAAGGGAGGAATATTCTGGGTTTGGGCCCTAAGCAATCGAGTCCTTATTGGGGTAGGCTTGCTCTTAGGCTGGAACCTTTAATGGCATTAAACACCTCCGCTAATTTCCATCCTTAATGGTGCTCTTTATGCAACAGTTTAAAAATGATTTCTAAAGAGCAGTAAAGCAGTTTTATTTAATTTTAAATCACAATCCTTGTATTTATGTTCCCATTATCGATTACTCCCTTGCTGACCTTGCGTCCTCAACTATCGTTCCAATAAATAATTTTTCGAGTCCTTTGCTGTCGTTGGCTCATTATTATCGCATTACAAACAACAAAGTTGGACCCGAAGTTGGTTGCATACTTTTGTGGCCACTGCTGTCAACGGCGCTCCGTTTGGCGCATTATTAATTAAATGCAAAATGTTTACACTAATAATATCAGCATGAAATTTCCCTTCCAAGAGCCCGAGCAGAATGGCAACGGAAGGAGCCATAAATTTCGTCTTTGGTTGCCGGGCGCGAGATGTGCGCGCGTTGCGGGTTGCGGGTTGCCGGTTACCGGTTGCAAGTTGCAAGTTGCAGGTTAATACACTGAACGAAAACCTAGTCAGAATGATTCAACTATGAATCAAAAAGTAAAATCTTCTTAAGTACACTTTAAGCAATAAAACAGCTTTGTTTGATCCAAAAACAAGGTTTTTTTTCCCATTTACATTTTAAATTAGGAAATGTCTGAAAAGCTAAAGCAACTATCTTAATAAATAATAGTAATTTCAGGCTGTTTAAAATTCACTGAAGTTTTCATCAGAATTAGTTTATTCTCTTGACTTTTTAAAAAGATCGAACAAAATTGAATTTAGAACTTACCCATTCTTGTTTCATGTGTATTTCCAACTGGCTCATTGCAGCGGCCACAAATTGTGAGTTATCTGGGTCCCCCAGAACGGCATCCTCCTCGGTTGTTAAGGTTCTTGTTGTCACTGCATGCAAACACATTAAATTAAATTATTGTCGCTGGTGTGGCTGCAGCATCGTTGCATCCTGCATTGGCATTGTCCTCGCCTTAGTTCGGCTTGTCGTCTGCCTTGCCTGCCAGGCAGGCAGGACTTTTCACAGGGCGGGAAATGTGGGCGGAGTGGAGAGCGAAGGGAGGTGAAGCCCCATCATCATGCTAAGTAGCCCGCCGTCTCCCAAAGGAAGGACTTATTTTCGCGTTTTGGCTGGAAGGCGCGTTTCATTAGGCATTTACGCATTAGACGAAGGACATGGACACGGCTGGGAACAAAAACAAGATGAATAGTTCCGCGGGAGGCATTACAAACTCTCTCCTTTGAACTGGCTCCCTTTGCCGATAAGATAGCAGAATAACATGCAAGAACGTAATGGTATTTGATTGAACAGGAAGCGAAGTGAGAAATCATGAGGACAAGAAGTACAGAGAATGTTAAGACAAGTCTAAAGGATGTATGTTTCAATTAACAACCTTTTACGACTGAGATTTATGACGATTTAACACATAATCTGTTTACGATGTTTAAGCCAGCAAATTAAGTGCGTTTAAATTGTGTTAATCAGATGCTAAACTTTCCGCCGCGTTTTTCACTTAATGTGGTAGAGTTTTTTTTTGCAGCTGAACTCATTCTCTCTGGCTGGCAACATTTTTTAATAGCCGCTAAATGCTGGAGCTAACAAAGCAACACGCCCACATACATTTCCCATTTATTTATTTTTTTTTGTACTGTATTTTTATGGGGGATGTAATTTGGTTGACGTTCAGTCGTGCGGGTCGCTGACTTTGGTCACTATTTCTTGGGGAAATTTTCAGGACAAGCTTTCGACAGTGCAACGCATTAGCCAACTTTTGCCACTCTTCCCCTAGAGGCTTTTCGTGCGTTTTAAGCATCGCGCTCCATTAGCATCTTGACTTTGGCGACTCAAAAGCATTTTAATGAGCCACCAGTTGGGGGCACGGTTTTTCCCCACATTGTTTTCCATGTCAAACAGCAATTTTGGTTTGCAAATTCTTCGTGAGTGACCAGAAGCTGAAAGTTGCATATTCATGCTGCAGAAATAACGAAGAGCCAGGCCCTAATGCATTTGAGTGTAGGAATTCGCATTGCATATTACGAGTCGTCGTTGGGAAACAGGGAAATATAAATGTAAAAACATAAATTCACTCAACATAGAAATGCACTTTTCCACCGGGTGTGAATGGA